GTGTGTGTGTGTGTGTGTGTGTGTGTGTGTGTGTGTGTGTGTGTGTGTGTGTGTGTGTGTGTGTGTGAGAGAGAGTTCTCCCCACCCAGTGGTTACGGCAAATTATTTACGAAATTTATCATCCTCGTTTTGGATGGGATGCTACGACTAAATCTCTAAAAACACATGTATATGCTTCGATCTTTTCAGCACGGAGAAATCACGTGACAATATTAGCTTCACTGTGCACCAAACCTGTTCATCTGCGTTCAACAACCTGATCATATCTATATATAATATATCGAATATTCGAAATTTCGATCTTTTTAGCACGTAAAACGAAATAATAAAACGGGATGCCGATAAAATCCGCGCAATGTCAAGTTTATTGGCATCAGGACGTTCACACATTGGATCAGCGATATACGGTTTGAACAGCTTCCCGGATGGTGCGCGCTATAAGGTGTCCATTCAATAAAACCCGATCCTTGTATATTAATTAAGGAGATACGCGGGTTCGTTAGACCGCTGGTACATGCGCGGTGTGATGCAGTGAGGCGGAGAAACACAGATTACAGACGTTTTTTGCGCGAGCAGGCCATTAGCGTTGATGGCTGCATCCGGGGCTTTGCACACCACACTGGCGGCCATTTAATGCGACACTCGGTTGTTGCGAGATCGTTTTCGCGTTGACTCAACCGATTACACGGTGCACGTCGTTTTGTGAACTGTGAAAGTAATCCATTGTTGTAGGGCGCTTGCAACATTAGCGAGCTTTGCTGTTTATTGTTGTAACATTCTGCGCCGTGAAGCGGCTTTGATCAAGGTGGCGTCAACTATAAAAGGCGGGCTCTTGTTTTAATGTGTTTCGCTGTGATTTACAGTAAGTTTATTGTTATAACATTCTACGCTGTGACGCGGCTTTAATCAAAGTGGCGTCATCTATAAATGACGGGCTCTTGTTTTAATGTGTTTCGCGATGATTTACAGTGAGTTTATTGTTATAACATTCTACGCTGTGAAGCGGCTGTAATCAAGGTGGCGTCATCTATAAATGGCTGGCTCTTGATTTAATGTCGTTTGGGGGTGAATTATCGAAGAATGTAATAAAAACTTTTTGTCACTCATTGTTTTCTTTCCTCACCGCTTTTCTTCTCTTTGTCAGAGTTTTCTGTTGACTTTTCGCTCCAATTCTTAACTCACGATATTACATATATTAGTGTAGTGTAGTGTAGTGTAGTGTAGTGTAGGTGTAGTGTAGTTGTAGTGTAGCTGCCTAGTGTAGTGCTAGTGTTAGTGTAGGTAGTGTTAGTGTAGCGCTAGCGTAGTGGGCGTAGCGTAGCGCTAGAGTAGTGTAGTTAGGTAGTGTAGCCTGTAGTGTAGTGTAGTGTAGTGTAGTGGAGTGTAGGTGTAGTGTAGTGATAGTGTAGTGTAGTGCTAGTGTAGACTGTAGTGTAGTGTAGTGTACTGCTAGCTGTAGCTGTAGCTGTAGTGTAGTGTAGTGTAGTGTAGCTGTAGATGTAGCTGTAGTGTAGAGAGTGTTGTGTAGTGCTTAAGTGCTAGTGTAGCGTCAGCGCTTAGGCGTAGCGGAGCGTTGTGTAGAAGTAGTGCTAGCTGTTTGTGCTAGTGTAGTGTAGTGTAGTGTAGTGTAGTGTAGTGTTAGTGTAGATGTAGTGTAGTGTAGTGCAGTGTAGTGTAGTGTAGTGTAGTGTAGTGTAGTGGTGTAGTGCTAGTGTAGTGCTCAGTGCTAGTGCTAGTGTAGTGTAGTGTAGATGTAGCTGAGTGTAGTGTAGTGTAAGTTGTAGCTGTAGAGTAGTGTAGTGCTAGTGTAGTGTAGTGTAGCTGTAGGCTGTAGTGCGAGTGTAGAGTAGCTGTTAGTGTTGCTGTCAGTGTAGTGTAGTGTAGTGTAGTGTAGCTGTAGTGTAGGTAGTGTAGTGTAGTGTAGTGCTAGTGCTAGTGTATGTAGTGTAGTGTAGTGCTAGTGTAGTGTAGTGCTAGTTAGTGTAGCAGTAGTGGGGAGTGTTCGTGTAGTGTAGCTGTAGTGCTAGATGCTAAGTGCTAGTGTAAGTTGTAGTGTATGGAGTGCTAGTGTAGTGTAGTGTAGTGTAGTGCTAGTGTAGTGTTTTCTTTTTTTTTTTTTTTTTTTTTTTTTTTTTTTTTCTTTTTTTTTTTTTTTTTTTTTTTTTTTTTTGTTTTCTTTTTTTTTTTTTTTTTTTTTTTTTTTTTTTTTTCTTTTTTTTTTTTTTTCTTTTTTTTTTTTTTTTTTTCCTAGTGTGTGTAGTGTAGCATGTAGTTATGGTGTAGTGTAGTGCTAGTGTAGTGACTAGTGTAGTGTAGTGTAGTGTAGTGTAGTGTAAGTGTAGTGTAGTGTAGTGCTAGTGTAGCTGTAGTGCCTAGTGTAGTGTTATTGTAGTGTAAGTGTAGTGTAGTGTAGAGTAGTGCAGCGTAGCGTAGTGTAGTGTAGTGTAGTGTACTGTAGTGCATTATTTGGGAGCTGGTCAATGACGTCAGTGCTTATAATCTGACTTTAGATTGGTTATAATTTTAATTTGATTTGGTTTTGACAAAAGTAGATGACTCGTAGTTAGAACATCAAATATATAGGGTAACGCATCAACTGCGTTTTTAAATCGCAACGAAATTAATATCAGATCACATAATTATCTAACGAACCATTATGATAGAGTCATTTAGAAATAGCGCCCACGGCAGTACACCCGTAGATAGGTGACATGTACATGTTTCCAGTTAGGTCGCCTGGGCCGCAGGTTTCAGACAGTAAACGTCCTGCCATATACCCCGCTTTAACAGGACCTTCTCTCCGCGACACCGCGTTTTGGTTCGCTATTGAATTATATATGTATATATATATATCTATGTATTATATATATATATATATATATATATATATATATATGATATATATATGTATATATATATATATGTATATATATATATATCAGTAGTAGTTGTATAGACTATAGAGTTATATATAGATCAGTATACGCGCACGCCTGTTGCGCTCATTGATCACCAGGGTGCGGTGTGGCAGCACCGTCTATTCAGCCGCATGAGCGCGCGCTGGCGCGGCCGTCACCGCTGCAGCTACGTCGGCCATGCTAGCATGGATGCATGGAGCTCGGTCACGGGCGCATGGCCGCTAGCGTGCGACCCCCTGCCGCCGCCGCTGCCCACGCCACAGATGACATCGACGCACACGCGCGCTGCGGCTTGCATCACGGAAAAAATCCCGCGACGGATGAGAGAGCAGACAGGAGAGAGAGCCAGACGAGAGAGAGAGAGAGAGAGAGAGAGAAAAGCAAGGAGAGAAAGAGAAAAGGAGCGAGGCAGAGAGAGACCGAGAGCGGCAGCGCAAAGGAAATCACACGTGAGTAATCGAGGTATTTTTGGCCTCACTACTAGTATTGATTCTTTTTTGGAAAGTGTTCTGTAAAGACAATAGTTCTGGATCGATTTGAGTGTAATAGAATCATTGTCGGTTCGGTTGCGATAGAAAAAAGCGCAGAAAGGAGGAGATGGAGAAAAAGAAAAAGAAAGAGTAGAGTGAGTGAGTGAGTGAGTGAGTGAGTGAGTGAGTGAGTGAGTGGAGGTGATGAGTGAGTGAGGGTCGCGAGTGACGTGAGTGAGTGAGTGAGTGAGTGAGTGAGCTGAGTGAGTGAGTGACGTGACGTGAGTGATGAGGGAGATGAGTGAGCGAACCCACAACGCGCACGAGCGAGCAGCCTGTCGAATTCGTGCGGGTGTGCGTTTGTATGTATGTGTAATAGAAAATGCGCGGACAAATATGGCAGAAGAAAACACAGTGCGCGCGAACACGCGCGCGGTGCACGCAAGACAGTAGCAGAGAAGGAGAAGAAAATCTGAAGGGAAAATAAGCGAGAGCGCAGCAAGGAGAAAGTTGGAGGGATAACAGATAAAGAGAAAGCAAAGATAGCGAATGGCGGAGGGAAAGGGAGAGAGAGATAGTGAAAAAAACACGAGAAGGAAGAGAGAGCACGAGGAAGAGCCAAGGACAAATGCGTATAACGATAGCAGGAGATGAGCGAGGCGGGAAGAGAAGAGCGAGGCAGGGGGATGAAAGACAGAACAGAGAGAAAGAGAGAGAGAGAGAGCAACGAAGAGAGAGAGAGAGCAGAGAGCAAGAAAGAGAGAGAGTAGAGAGAGAAGAGGAAAGAGCAGAGAGCAGAGAGAGAGAGAGAGAGAGCCGGAGATATAAGACGGGTCATGATAGAAAGTATATTCTTTCCATATATTATTAGAGGCAGAGAGAGTTATAGACAGTAGCCTGTATACTTATAGTTTCTTTACCCTCGCGAGATCAGTCGTTACTAGTTTCAAATGCGACGACTTTAGTGAGTACAACAGCCCTCCATGAGATGGCGATGTGATGAAGGCAACTAGATATGTTTAGATTTCACAATGACCTCCCGCTACTAGCCGGCATTTACGGAGCGCGACCATGCCGTATCGTGGGAAGGTCTGCCGCGCTTTGTATGCGTGCTGCGTACGCCGTGTGTACATAATGTTAAATGCACGCGTGTAATCGTGATGTCGTGTGTGTGTGGTGTGTGTGTGTGTGTGTGTGTGTGCTGTGTGTTGTGCTGTATGTGTGTGTGGGTGTGTGTGTGCTGTGTGTGTGTGTGTGTGTGCGTGTGCGTGTGTGTGGTGTGTTTGTGTGTGTGGTGTGGTGGTGGTGTGGGTGTGTGTGTGTGTGTGCTTGTGTGTATGTGCTGCGTGTGGGTGGAGGGCGCGGGTGTACGCGCTGCGTGTTTTATTTGCTGTGATGTCGTGTTTTCCCCACGCGCTATGATCACAGCACTAGTCGTGAATGTCCTCTGAAGGGATCAAAACTGACATCTATAATCAAAACAAAATTCTAATAGAAAACGACGGAACGCGGAAAACGCAAAAGAATCGGAGGGACGTACGGTATAATTCGCTCTTTGTTAAAAAAAATGCGATTACAGTAGAGATTTACACGTGTGTGGTCACACCACGCTATTTATTCTGACTGAGGGTCGTCCTTAAAACTGGCACCGCGCTAATAGCCTTCTTAGCAGGGATAAGTAGACATGTGAGGCCACGGACTATAGCAGTGATTATTTACGCTACTACTATACACTGTAAATTACTGTATATACTGTAATAAGAGGAATAACTACCGTTTTTGTATTTCCTGTGGATTTGTCTCTCTTCTGGCGCTTGAACGGAATGCAATCGTCGCTATACTTCTACACGTTTAGGCTTTTAGCAGTACGAAAAAATTAGCAGCTTGCAAACGCGACAACTCTGTTAGGTTATAGTCCTCTCACCGCGCAATGTTTGCCGAGAGTTTGGTAGTGTTGTTCTCTCTGACAAGGCGTCTAGGCTGAACGTTCGCGATGCAGAGTCCGGGAATCGTGTGAAATTTTGAAAGTTTTGTTGCGGAAGTTCGAATACGTTCGTGCATAGCACGTCATAATTTTTTCGCTGTATTTAATGGTCAAATAAACTTAAATCGCCGACTTATAATGACATGTTTGTTTGTGTGTGTGTGTGGTGGTGTGTGTGGTGTGTGTGTGGTTGCGTGTGTGTGCTGCTGTGTGTGTGTGTGTGTGTGTCGTGTGTGCTGTGTGTGGGTGCTTTGCTGTTTGTGTGGTTGTGTGGTGGTGTGCTTGTGTGTGTGGTGTGTGTGTGTGTGTGCGCGCGCCTGCGCCGTGTATGTGTGGTGTGTGTGGTGTGTGGGTGTGTGGCTGTGTGTGTGTCGTGTGTGTGTGTGTGTGGAGAGACAGGGGTGTACTGGTGGTAACAGGGATGTACTGGTGGCAACAGGGATGTACTGGTGGCAACAGGGGTGAACTGGTGGTGGCAGGGGTGTACTGGTGGCAACAGAGGTGCCTCGACTGGCCAACACTCGACTAAATTGTCCTTACTCTGTCGGAAACATGACCGCGGACGAGATTGGGAATTTTATTTACAGTAGATTTTAGTCGATTGGTATACTAAGTATAGGTGAAAACTATGATGAGTATATATAGCTACAATTATGTTGGGTAAGCGCACCGTGGCGATAACCCGACGCGAGGTCACACATAGTCTACGTCACTAATTGAAAACAGTTATTTACACATTATTAAAACACTCAATGGGTGCTTAGAAGCGTTACACAGTAACCCAATGTTCTGTATATATGGCGACAGGTTAGGCAGTATAGGCCTACTGTTACACGCGTCCATACGAGTAGGAGTATTTTCACACAGACCGTGAGTCAGACTCATTTATCACCGTAATAAATTCAATGCGCTGACAAGTGTTAGTAAGGGTAGGTTTACGCTGCGTAAATGATTGTATTTGTTATATAGACGTACACAGACTACGTAAGCAAATAAACAAAGATTGTAGATCTTGAAAATAAAGGGGATTGTCGATCACATAAGTTATTTTCCAAATTAAATAAGTTATTTCTTATTGATTCTTGATTAGATGTATAATAAATATTGATGAAACACGTTCGATTGACAGAAACTGATACGTGTCCACGCATGTCACGTGACGAGTGATGCGGAAGTTCCGATTGTGCTCATTGTCAAACAACAACCACGATCAGCATTGGCAAAGTCAACGCTGAGTTTTAATAAAACTCCATGAAAAAAGGTTGTCATGCCAAGCAACATTGTCGGAATTTATATCGAAAGCATTATTTTGTACGTATATGGTGATTGACGGGTAGCAAGGTTATCGCGTGTTTTTCTTGTGTTATTCACCTGCTTTTCTCTTCGTACAATGAACGCGAGGCAAGGCTATTATATTACCTGCCTACATAGGGCACTATAGGTACTTGAATAGAGGTCATAAACCACGTAGTGGTTTAAAAATCATAGCCGATCGACAACAGCGGAAAACCTACTTTGTTTTCGCAGCGGCTTTATCTGGGTTTTAGTCACAGATCGGCTGCAGCCCATAGAGTTGAATCAACCGCATGCGACAGGAGGTCAATTATAGTGTAGTGTAGTGTAGTGCAGTGTAGTGTAGTGTAGTGTAGTGTAGTGTAGTGTAGTGTAGTGTAGTGAAATAAATGATTAAATATTTCTTCATTCATTTCATTTTATTCATTACTTTATTTCACCCAGTTT